TCACGATGTAACATGATAAAATTATCAAAACGTTAGGTTTGGTTCAAGAGATAATGTCACAAGAAATCTCAAGAAAACGACATATAATTACAAGAAAACGAAATATAATTACAAGAAAACGAAATATAATTACAAGAAAACGAAATATGATTACAAAAAACCGACATATAATTACAAGAAAACGACATATAATTACAAGAAAACGACATATAATTACAAGAAAACGAAATATAATTACAAGAAAACGACAAATAATTACGAGAAAACGACATATAATTACAAGAAAACGACATTTAATTACAAAAAACGACATATAATCTCAAGAAAATTACATGTTTTTACAAGAAAACGACATATAATTACGAGAAAACGAAATATAATTACAAGAAAACGAAATATAATCTCAAGAAAACGACATAAAATTTCAGAAATTAAAAAGTTCAGTAAGACACACTTATAAGATAACTTGCATGAAACTTAAAGTTTTGTCATTTTTTGTCAGACATTTATTCATGTTTATGATAATCTCTAATATTTCATGACTTGCAATTTGAAATAATGGAGATATTAAAAAATCAAGAAATATTATTATTACGGTGTATATATTTTATATATATTTTATATATATATTTTAGAATTTTATGCTTCCAACAATAGTTAGTTGCTTTTTATCAAATAATAATATTGAATTTCCCTCTCAGAGTTTTATGTCATGAATATCATTATTCTTTTATCCAAACCAAGGTTCTAATACAAGGAAAGTTATTCCAGAGGTGTGCGCATTTTTTGCACTGCAGTGTACTGTCTTTGGGCGGAAAAGTAAACACAAGGCGGATGTCTCAGTCTGACATGGGAATCAATTTTCAAAAATAATCTATGAAATATTCTGATCATAGGAAACTATTATGTGAATTATCAAAATTATCAAAATTAAATGATTTTATCTTTCTCGGATACTAGACGAACACTGATGCATCTATTCTTGTTTACAAATCTATTCTTGTTTTCAAATTCCGACCATAGAGAACTGTTTTCAATATGTACGCTGTATGTTCTTTTTTACCTTTCGTTGAAGTCTGAATAATAATTCCCGTAACCCTTACCCCCACCCACCCACAACCACCCCGTTCCCCACCTCCGAAAACCATAGTTTCGATATTATCGTGGGAGCATAGGAGAATTTAAAAGAATGTCAATATGATAGGGAATCATAAATCGCATAGTAAATTTTGAAATTTGATTGAATTTAATAAACCATTAAGAAAGGAAATCAAAAAAATAAATCAAACACATAATGAGAGCGTTAATAAGGACAAGGCAAATCTTTGCAAAATTTAATATAGTATGCTCTTTTGGAAATGTAACAAAGTACACCAAGAAATTATCAGAAAGCCCAGTGGGAGCGGGGAAAGGTGGGCGGCCATAAGCCACAACATTTTCCCTTCCATGCCACATATTAGCTTTTTTGTCTTCTGGCAGCCATAAGCCACAAACGTTCGGTCCTCCATACTACAACATTTGAGTCTTCCGTCAATTATTACGTTTTCAAATGGTAAATTTAGTGCATTGAAATTGCGATTTTTTCTTATTTGAAACCTTCCTTAGCACACTCGACATCAAAGCTAAAGGTCTCATTTTTTTTCAATGAGCTTGCCTTGAAAAGTTGGACTATGGACGTACAGGGTGTCCCAATAAACATGGGAATTCAGTGACGAATTCGATATCGTCTTTTTAAATAATTCTATGATTTAGTATAGTGATAACTACTGAGAAAGCTGTAATCTGTAAGATTTTCGTCTGCTATGTTCACATTTTTTTTATGTTTTGACTGCATACGGTTGTTCTTAGTAAAACAAGAAAATTACACTATACAAACAGAGTAAACTTTTCCGTCTTCACTGTTTATCTTGCAGAGACATTATAGACACATCTTTACAGTATTTTACCCTTTTTTTATAAAATAAACTCCAACAGACATAATAATATTATGGGTTTTGAAATTAGGTATTACATTGCTGATTCATAACAATATTCGATTTGTCACTGAATTCCCATGTTTATTAGGACACCCTGTACATGTATCAGACTCCTATATCTAATCTTCGAAAGAATATTAAAACCTCAAAAATCCCCACAATCTGTATTACACTCAAATAGCCCAAACGGGATAGGGTTAACATTTTTCTTGTTCTCAATGTACGTTGAATTGGTTTGTTTCGTTACATAGACTAAGAAAGTGTTCCAGGAGAAAATCTTCATGTCTCAGCTAAACATAACATGAAAAGACTGGGGAAGTCAGTTTTAAGAAAAAAAAAATTTGCAAGGATGGTAGAATCTCTTGAAAACAGTTTCTCTTATAACAACTTTTAAAATAAAAAAAATATTTGTGGAAAACTATTTAGATTCTAAGGTTAAAAAAGGTTTATTAGAATATGTTAAAATTCGTTCATAATTTGATATTAAAACCTAGTCGACATCATTTTCTTAAAAATAATCTTTGATTTTTCAAAGGATTAAAGAAAACAATGGATCTTTTGACCTAACAACAAAAGAACACAATTTCCATAAAAATTGAGATTTTATTTTTTTAATTAACTGCAACAAAAATTATTTTTTTGCACATTTTTATCAAACAAACAGACAAGCAAGGTATAATATATAGATGAAAAGAAATTAATGTGTTAACCCAACAATTGAACAACAAATGAATATCGTTTTATTTTTGTAGTCGACCTTGGATTCATATTCACAAGAAAAATTGTTTTCTAAAACGATAGCTTTTCGTTTTGTTTACCAGAACGTTAAGAATACAACGTTAAAAAGTATTCTGTCTAAAATAGTAAAATCTGTTTTAACCCTTTTTATAGTTATACTTTTACTTTAGTATAGTTATTCAGATATTTACCGATATTGTTTAAAGTTAATTATCTGAATTTAAAAGTTTAAATTTCCCGGAAGCTACCGATATCTCTGTGTTTTTGTACAGTATTTTCTTTAAGTCTATTTCCTGTTTTTTGTTTTTAATTCATCATCCGAACATTAAGTTAAATTCGCTAGTCGAGGTGTGTTTTATGTAAAAAGGTTTATGAAATATGGACAGAATAAAAAAATATATATTTTCCAAGGCTACTCTAATTTTGATTATAGATTTCGACAAATAAAAACTGTTATGGATATGAATTGATATATCTGTTTACATCTATATGTATATGGATAGATAAATAACATCTTACGTTCACAATTTGACTTATTTGAAATCTGTTGAGAAAGTTTTATCTGTATATAAATTTGGCTTGTCTGTCTGTTTGTCTGTCTGTCTGTCTGTTTGTATCCAATAAACGTCAAAACGGCTGAACCGATCGGGCCCAAATTTTTTGTGGGACATCTAGGGACCCCAGGGAAGGTTTATGAATGATTGAAATTTTGAAAATTTTTGTTTTAAAGTTTTTTAATTTTGTAAAAAAATTTAAATTTTTAAAAATCCGAAAATTTTTTTCCTCTTTGTTTTGAAATGTAAACAAAAAGAACATGTTCACAATTTAAATAGAAGATGGGCGCGAAGCGCCCTAAAAGCCTAGAAAGAAGGGCGCGAAGCGCCTTGAATTTCTAGTTTAAAATAAATTTTGCGTTAAAAAAAATGATTAAACTTTAAATATTAAAATTTTACCGACCAAAGAGGTTCAAATAGCCGTAAACTTTAATAACTTTTCTGTAATATAAAACGAAGAAAATGCGAAAATAGTTTTATTCAACTTAAATAGACAAAAAAATAAAATATTTTTTAGAAAATATTACGGGCATTTTAGAATTTCAAGTGTTTAAATCTCTGATACCTAAATTAATTTTACTAATATCAAAACTGTAATTATATACTTTATAGTATTAGACTTTCTGGACACTCCGCGCACATTTTCTTTTTCAACTTTTAATTGAGGCTCTACATATCACGTGGATTTAACGGTTCTGTCAATATTCCAGAAACCTGTGACTTTCGATCACAATTTTACCCATTAAACATAATTTGTTTGCCTTTTTTATTTAATACTTTTTTGTTGGCATATGCATTTTGAATGAAAATGTATAACATAAACAAATCCATAAAGTAAATGATTATTGAATTAAAGACCAAAACACGTTTGATTTCAAATAGAAGAAACCGAATGCTGCTCACTCTGGTTAGTCCGGTGTGATATGAGCATGTCTTTTCTTTGTAAAATAAAAAACAATAAAAAAAGTTCGTGGATTAAATAATATTTTTAGCGCATTTTCAAAACTTAACAAAAGTCAAAAACTGTTGGACACTAATTTTTGTAATTTTGATCATTCATAAACCTTTCCTAAAGTCATGTCAGGTCCAAACACCAGTTTCGCAGTTGTGATGGTTATTGGATACCAACGGACAAAACAGACACAGACAAGCAAAACTAATATATACTCAGTTAACTACTTTCATTAGAGATGAACAGGGGCGTTCACAGGAATTGGTTCAGGGGTGGTGCTTAATATTTTTTCCCCAGAGGTGGGGGGTGGGGGTTGCGGTCTGAAAACACATTAAAAACCATATCTTTCAGACTTTCAGTGATCAGGGGGTAAAGAAGAAATGTTGACTGTTGAACATTGGAAATGACGTTACACATGGGTAGTCTCTATATATGTACATTAACTACAGTTTAAATACACAATCGTCTCTTAAGTCTCATCCTTTGTGGTTAGCCCTGTATAGTGTATAGTGTATATCCTATAAGGTCAGTGGATACGTCTATGGGTTTATTGAATACACTGTCGTATATGTGTACTCACAGATAGTTGATTGTAAACACTTTAAATTTTTAATCTTTATACACTGTACACATTCTTTTAATTATAGCTGATATAAAATGACATGCTTTATAACAACATAATAATTATTTACGGCTACTTTACAGTGAAGTTAAGTGAATTTTACTTTACCATAGGTTCCCGAGACCAATTTTATGAGTCCAACTGTGCTTCTTTTTTTAATTAGAGTTTTTATTGCAGAAAAATGTTGTTTAAAGCAGTTGGTTCCTGTCGGAAGATAAGAGCTAGATTATTTTCCTCTGAACCACCTTCTTGGAATACAATCTCGCAATTTAGGTAAATATGTAGAATATAATTAACTTCAACGGACTGTCCCCATAATTCTAATCATGAGCCTCATTTTGCCGCGTCAAATTACAAGAGAGAGGGAAGATGAATTTTGTAGATCCAGAGTAAAAATTTCGGTAAGATGCCTGAGTAGAGACTGACAGCTGGTGGGCGTGGGAGTGGATGGAGCAAGCTGTCATTTGGTACAAGTCTTCACTTTAGTACGAGTCTCAACATTTTGGTACAAACCTTAACTTTGGTAAGAGTATCTTAAAGTTGAGACTTGTACCAAAGTTGAGACTCGTACCAAAGTTGAAACGTGTACCAAAGTTGAGACTCGTACCAAAGTTGAGACTTGTACCAAAGTTGAGACTTGTACCAAAGTTGAGACTTGTACCAAAGTTGAGACTTGTACCAAAGTTGAGACTTGTACCAAAGTTGAGACTTGTACNTTGCATCTGTAGTTTAGTTTTTGGTCAGTCTCTATGCAGGCATCCCACCTCTCTCTTTCTTGTAATTTGATGCGACACTAACATAACTGACATGGGCCGCTGCCTGAACAAAAGTTTCAAGTGCCCTTTAAAGGGAATTTCCACGAAAAATGAAAGGGTTTATGAGCTGATCTCGATTTGCATTCGATGTTGATCGCTGCTAATATTATTTTTATCTGTTACATGTATTGGGAGAAAATGGGCGAAAACGCGTCAAACCCATGTAAATTCACAGAGATCGCATTTTTTCATCCAAGCCCTAAATAATTCAAAATTAATCACTTAGATATTACAAGTTATAAATGTATAATTCAATTTGGGGATTTATATGTAGTTTAAATATCAAACTCTTTTTTTATAAACAGTGTATTTTGGACGATAACTCATTGACCACTAGGTGTCTGTCCCACGTAAAATCTCAATAGTATAGAGCTAGAGACACCTAGCTGCCAAATCATTTCGTCCAATGTAAATTGTACATTAAAAGTAAGTATAATTAGTAGTCATCAAAACTGAATTAAAATTAAGACCACTTTTATTTTTCGCAAACATTCCCTTTAAACCTTTCTGTGCTTACAACATCCTCAAATACGTATCCAAAGGAGGGCAATTGGGTCGTATTCCCTCCCTTTTGGAGCAGTAAAATTTATGGTTTACAGGGGGTGTTCAGGTCCCAACTGGTGCTCCCTGATCATACTGTAGCAATATAAAGTATTTTGAGAAAAAGTGTATTACTTCCTCCCAGCTGTTCAGGATATTAATTAGTGGATTTTGCAACAATTCCTATATGGGCATTTATGAAAATCTTTCAACATTGTATAGCTAAAAGAGTACAGAGTCTAAAACTAAAGAACGAAAAGTTTTGACTTAAATTTTAAGTTCATGGTTAAATGCCACTTCTGACTTAATTTAAACCTGAACATGCTCACTCTGGTTAGTCCGGTGTGATATGAGCATTCTTAAACTGGGGCATCAAAGCAGCAATTAGAAATACCTTGAGTTATGAATTCCTTTATCCTCTACTAAAAATTACTCCCAAGGTGTACCTGCACTTACCGTGAAACTAAATTCCCGATTTAAAAGTCTATCCGCTCAACTTTGAATCTCAAAATCAAGCTAAGAACATTTCCGTGGTTCTACCGAGTTCCCTTATCCAAATTTGAGGCAAATTATTTTATGGGTTCCTAAGTTATGATCGGACAAACAAACAAACAGACAAACAGATATATTATCCTCTATTTAAGGAAGATGAGATTCTGTAAAACTTTTTGTGAGTATTAACAAGTTGTTTTGCCTTATTTTGTTCAATTCTTTAAAAACTCTGTAAATAATCTAGGCCACCTTCTGAAAGTCATGAGCTCTCGCAAGGAAGGAGGGAACCCCCGGACGCCATGAGCCTCCGCTATGCAGACACGAGACTCCCAGATTTGCTAGACAGACCGAGCCTCTGCTGTGCAGTAATGAGCATGCCCAATACATCAAAATATTCCTGTGTAATACAGGAGGTTTTTTAAAACTTTTGTTTTAAGTTTAAATAAAAGATTTTTTACAAATCTTTCGATATGGTGGCATGAGAGGTTTCTCAAAGATGAGAAGTATTTATCAATTATCATAAATAGTGCCTAATTATGACTAATTAAGTGCTATAATAAAACTTTAAACATTTTTTACACAAAGTTGAATTTCATTTCATCTTTTATAATCTTTGATTTAAGTGATACCTTTTTTGTAGTTCAAATCAAATCTAGAAAATTTGTATCATTTATTTAAATCTTAACATTTTTTGAAAATAGGTATTGTTAAATCATAGATTACAACAAAACAAACTAAGTTTACTCCAGAAATATTTTTCCAAATATCTTCCTTTCTGCGTAAGAAATGTTTAAGTTTAGTATAAATCTTATAAACCACTTGATGAGTCCATATATATGTTTAATCATGACAATCAATAAATAACTCTATTTAGTAATATTCTTATGCCACTACGTCAAAAATATTGTTAAAATTTTTCATTACACATCAAAACCAAGATTTAAAAAAAGCTGTTCTGTACGGTGGAAGCTCGTTCATTGTATAGAGGAGGTATGGTCTGCATAGTAGAGGCTCGGTCTCCCTAGAAAATCTTGGAGGCTCATGTCTGCATAGCAGAGCCTCAGAGGCTAATGGCGTCCGGGGATTCCCTCCCTCACGCAAGTATCAGCAAAGAGTATACAATACAAGCCTGTTAGAAAAAAGTTGCTGGAAATATTAATTTTGTTAAGATGGTTCTTGCCAATACAGACAAGATGGAAGGACAATGATCAATATGGACATATTAACAATGCAGTTTACCATTCTATTTATGATACAGGTTAGTTCAAGGGTTAAGCAAAGTTCAGTTAAAAGTAGATATGGCCATCACTTTCCTGAACAAACAACTTTTCAAATGATCTTTTGAAAAAAACACATTAATTTTCTTTAACTGAGCTAATCTTTCAAATAGAAAACGACCGAATTAGATGAAAAATTAATGATAATTAGGAAAACAAACAAATTAAAACTTTTAATGAACGATAAAGGAATAAATTGAAAAAAATTGACGCACCTATTTCTAGTTTCACCTGAAAAGAAATGTTGAAAAAGTGAAAAATGCTGACATTAAATGAAATTTTTTTTAAATTATGCTGAAATAGCCTTAAACTTAAATATATTTTTTTTTTAATTGAAGACCTAAACAAGCAGATGAAATGTAATCATATTTTTAAAGTTTTTGGGGAGGTTGTTAATTAACCTTATTTGAATGACATATATTCTCAATAGTACACTCTAAGCCTTTAACTTGTAGATGAAATACATCTTTTCTACTCTACAGAAATGACTAGCAAGAAATTGGCTTTAATTTTTTCCTTTTTCAGTTTAGTAAAACAGAAAAAGGTCTGCTATTGTTATGGAAAGTTTATAGTAAAATGTGCCCTTTAAACCTTTGTCTGATCAAGTATGATTATCAATGATTATATAATTCATTATTTTAATATTTTGGTTTCTTGACAAAAGTGCATTTCTATTTTTATCTAATGCAGGAAAAAAATTATCATAAAGAAACGCTTTTAAAATTTAAAAAACTACAATATCTGCAACATTATTGATCAGATAACTGTTTCAAGGGTATCGTTGTGAAGCGGGCATTGTCATTTTTGACACATATTGTTTGTTTATTATGTTTTTTTAATAATATTGATGTTTTAATGTTTTATCTTATTTTTAATTTTACANGATTTTACCTTAACGCAAAACTGTTCCTTTAGAAAAAGAAAAAAAATAATAATAGCTATTTTTGACAGTTCTAACAATAATTTTAAAATAAAATCTTGGGATTATTATAGTTTTTTCCTTATTTAAAAGAAATCTCTATTCTTTATTTTATTATATTAACTCTTTCATCTAAAACTAATTTTAAAGGTCCAAACTAATATTGTATCTTCTTTTTTACACAATACTCGAGTTTAAAGGCTGCATAATTTTCGAAAAAGGGCAACCTTAGATGACATTGTTGCCATATGGTATTGTATGTGATAAATTTAATTTTTGTTGATTTATGTCAAGAAAAAAATAAATTAAATATCATGATTTTTAGAGGGAAAAAATCGTCCAACTATGTAATACGTATATCTCTATTATTATTAATCAAATTTGTTATAATTTTTTATTTTCCAGAAATTTTCCCGCAGTTTCTAGATTTAAACTTAGAACATATTAACTATTTAAACATAGAATGATAAGATACAGATTACAGAAGAATTCATGTTGATTTTTGTTAAGATTATTAAAAACTTAAAAATAATCATGTAAAAAAACTCTAACTAACGATTGCTAAAGAAAGATGTTAACCCATCTCAATTGTATTGGAACCTGTTAAATATACGAGGGAGGGGGTGCAGAGGTGCCATGATCCCCGCAAAAATGACCTCCGAGCCTCGGGATTTGCAGAATTACCTCCAGGCCCCGCAAAACTGGTCTCCCAGCCTCCGTGACGTCACCAAGCCTGCCCCCATTCTGTCTCCACGCCCCGCATTTTGGTCTCCGCTTGTTGTTTTATTTTTTGTTTAAATTTATTGGCTTAACCAAACAAATATCAAAATATATCTCTTCATAGTAGACTCAGATAGTTTTAAGAACCGTTTAATCAACAATTTCGACATGTTGATTCATTTAATTGTTCTGGAGTTGTTTTTCTGTAAAAGTTTATATTAAGATGGAATGAGTAAAAGACGACCTTTATAAACGACTTATCTAATATTTTTGAAGGCATCATGATTTGAAGATTTTATTAACTCTCGATTCCTTAGCATTACATTTTATCATAAAAATGCAAATTAATGAGCATCTGTCCTTTAATATACGAGTTTTTGCGCACCCCCCCCCCCCCCCCTCTGTATATCAATTTTTTCAGTCAAATGAATTCTCTCGCTAAAAGAAAAACTATTTAGAATTAAATTTAACTTATTAAAGAAACAAGATATGATACGAAGCTGCCCTAACCTGTTAGTATAGCATGTAATAGATATTTAGATTATTTTATTTCTTTGTTTCAATTTTTAAAAAATAGTTCTTCAATATTTTCTAAAGCATACGATAAAAGCACAAATACAAGGATTTCACAAAAACTACCTTGTTTTGTAAATTGCCGCTGATATTGTTTGATTCGTATATGAGACCCCTCTACAATAACATTTTTCTATCTTTATACAAAACTGCAATAGTTCTTCACAATTTAAGGAATTTGTGAAATTTAGAAAAACAAAATACAAGCCTTTAATCTCAATTAAAATTCACTTTTTAATACAAAATGTTAATGTATCATTCTGAACTATTTCATCATGTTGAGAATTTTTTAAAAAAAGGTTCTTGGTGGAAATAAAAGCAAAATATTTTTTAAATGGGGGGCGTGGAGACAGAATGGCAGGAGGCTTGGTGACCAGTTTTTCGGGGCCTGGAGGTAATTCTGCAAATCCGGAGGCTCGGAGGTCATTTTTGCGGGGATCATGGCGCCTCTGCACCCCCTCCCTCTATATACATAATTTCATGATCCAGATCTTTTAAAGCTGTGGAAGTATTAAGATTAATGACTTGGGTATCTTCTGATCATATGCAAGATACTTTTTTGATACTTTTTAACATTTAATTCAATTCATTTCCAAGATTTGTTTAATACCCCAAAGTTTTCAATTCATTGTTTAATTTTGTAATCATTTTGTAATGAAACCTGGATTAAATTTTCAATGGTCCTATTTTTTTCAGTGATCAATGTGTTTCTTATCCGCCATGTTGGATTGGATTTGGAATCAGCTGTTTTACCGCGTGGTTATATGGTGACAAACAGCTGCACTTTTCTAGGATCTGCCAGGTATACAAATCTACTAAATAGGTGGGTCTAGCTTAATGCATCTTACTTATAGCATTGTTAACTTTAACATACTTTGGTAGGCGATTATATCAAAATAATGAAGATAACTTCAATTTTGATTTATGTATAGCTTTCAAGTAGCATTAATACACAAAGACATGGAAACAAGTAGAAGCTATCAATTAAAAAAGCTTCTCTTTATTAACTTGTAAACTTGTCACTAAAAAAAAGCTTATTTACAATCAAACAATTAAAACTTAAATAAAAAAATTGTCTTTATTATATTGATATAAACTTCTTCCACCATAGATGAAAGGGGGAAATCCTTCTCCCCTCAATATCAGGATAACAGGATAAAAAACATCTTCCAGTGAATCTACAATTGATTAGAAGATTTAACTGAACTGACAAAATGAAGTTAGGTTGAAGAATGGAAAACTAAGTGTCTCATTTGAGCTGAAAACTTTAGAATGGGATATCCTTAATCCTGATCGGTTAATTAATCTGGAGATTCATAAAAAGAGGAAAACAAGCATTATTAAATTTGGAGATTAAGAAAAGAGTGGATCAAGCATTAATCCCGATATCCACCATTAAAAAAATTCCCAGCTCTGTTTGATAAAAAAATCTTGAAAAGTCTGTAATCATAATTTGAAGTAACCCTCCATTTACAGAGAGTAAATGCAATTCACAACAGCTGCATAATCAACAATAAGTTTGAGTCCTCAGTTTTTTTTAATTTTATCAAGACTTCAGGGATGAATATTTCACTGAAAAAAATATACTTTTTACAACTATGCGAAATGTTTTCATTTACATTTTGTTTCTTGTTAATTTGCATAATCCTTTAATTCTAAGTTTTTGAATTCATTACACTGTAAGACGGTATATTTGCTTATCTAGTTAAACATCATAGACAGGGAAACTTCTGGCTAAGGGACTGTACACAACTTGAAGTTTTGTTCTTTATACTTGGACTTTTTCACAAATATCATACAAGTATTTAAATAAGTTGGGATCTCAGGGAAAAACGCGATGGTTAAAAGGCTAATAGGTTGGATAAATTTGCATCTGTAGTTTAGTTTTTGAAATTTTATACCCACGACTTACTTTATTATTTCTGTAGTGAAAATCCACAAATAACTCTCTAAAAGGATGGAAAAAAATCAATTTTCACATAGAAGAAGACCTCTGACCTTGATCTGACAAAGGCTTATTGTGCATCTGATATGGCATTCCATAAATGGAGGGAAATTAAATATACGATTTCTTAAAGGTAGTGTTCCTGAAAAATATAGGCTGATCCCGAATTAAATTTTTGATCCCTGCTAATTTTACTGTTATCTGTTGCGTCTATAAGGCGGGAAATAAAAAAAAAAAACCCTAATACCCGAGAGCGCAAAACCCAAAATGCAAACTGTAAATAAGTCGATTAAATTTATATCTAATCATTTTGATATTACAATGTCGAATTCAATTCGGGCGTTCGTATTAATAACTTTATTTTTCTGTTTAAATTCTGAAATATATTAAAGATTTATAGTTTAATAGGTCTATTTTTATAAAAATACAAATAAATTGTCATGCATTATTTTTAGCCTTTGTCACCCCCAGGCTACTCATAAGTGTCCACAAAAATTGTCAGCCCATTCGGTCCAGCAGTTTGGCCGGCTTTAGGGAACATATATATATGAATGTCTTGTTTTATTACATACACTTAAACGTCATTACTACTAAAATTTTCTTACTATTAATGGCTTTAGAAAATTGAAACAACACAAACTGAAATTACAAAGAATAAAGGTTAATTTATAATTAAAAGAATTACTTAAACTCTCCATAAAGATACTATGGCTTATAATAATAGTTAGTTAGTTTGCAAGAATTAAGAAGATCCTGATTATACAAGAAACTTATATTGAAATAAAAGCCAACTTGCAAAAAAATTAAATCTAATCTACAAGTTCATTTTTTATACTTTGATTACACTTTTATTGCGACCCAAAACTCTTAAATTTAAACGATGTTAAATTTGTTCTCCTCTGACTTGAAAATACCCTTTCGCAGATAAACAATAAAGTTCTGAATAAAAAACTAGATTACAGGTTCAGGGAAAAAATAACTATGAATGTTGGACAAGATAAAATATCTGCCTTTCAAGTTTTTTCATCTTTAGCGGGTAATTGTACAGGGGCGTACACCTAAACTTGACTTAATGGAGGGGGCTGGTTATCACACATTTGGTTCTGAAACTCCCCAGAAACCATTGATTTTACTTATCCAGGGAGGGGGGGGGGGCTGAGCCCCCATAGCACCCCCCTGTGTATGCCTTTGTTCCTGAGCTTTACCTTGAGTTTACATTATTCCCAAATAAAAATCCATTTTGGAAAATGAAATGATTCGGAAATTTGTTCCGTAAAGTGGAATTCCGGATGAAATGGAGACCGGAAATTTTCCAGTTTACGTTACGTAACCTTGATTTTTTCCTGGTTTATGGAATGTAAACCGGAAATTTCTGGAACCCTGTTCCGGAATTCCGGAAAAACTCAGGTTTCTATTCTACAAACCGTTTCATTCCCTAAACATAACAAATTCCAGTTTCCTTATCGTAAACCAGAAAAATTTCCAGGTTCCATTATGTAAATTGGAAAAATTTCCGGGTTCCATTCCGTAAACCGGAAAAATTTCCGGGTTTCCATTCTGGAAACCAGAATGGGAATATGAATGTGTGTCGCAAACTCAAAATTTCTTTTTTTCCATAAGACGTAGACTGTATGTTTATCCATAGGTTCCCACTCCAATATACAAAAACAGACAAGTATATAAATAAAGTGAGAACCAGAAAATTCTGGAATAGAAGGGTGACTGCACTTGAAACACGGCAATGGTTGAGTGTATACAGACCAATTTCCGATTTCCGGATAAAATAGCCGTTCCGAAATGACGGAACCTTTCCCATAATCGAAATGGAAAAAAATTCCGGATCATTTTTGTCCGTAAATCGTAACCCGGAATTCCGGTGGAAACCCTAGGTATACCTAGGTATGGGCAGGTAGGTACTCTTAAGTATATCTACTGTACACTGTATAGGTACCCTGAAGTATACCTACTGTACACTGTATAGGTACCCTGAAGTATATCTACTGTACACTGTATAGGTACCCTGAAGTATACCTACTGTACACTGTATAGGTACCCTGAAGTATATCTACTGTACACTGTATAGGTACCCTGAAGTATATCTGCTGTACACTGTATAGGTACCCTGAAGTATACCTACTGTACACTGTATAGGTACCCTGAAGTATACCTACTGTACACTGTATAGGTACCCTGAAGTATATCTACTGTTCACTGTATAGGCACCCTGAAGTATACCTACTGTACACTGTATAGGTACCCTGAAGTATACCTACTGTACACTGTATAGGTACCCTGAAGTATACCTACTGTACACTGTATAGGTACCCTGAAGTATACCTACTGTACACTGTATAGGTACACTGAAGTATATCTACTGTACACTGTATAGGTACCCTGAAGTATACCTACTGTACACTGTATAGGTACCCTGAAGTATACCTAAGGTAAACTGTTTAGGTACCCTGAAGTATACCTGGCAGGTTTAGGTGTTAGTAAGCTTGGAAATACATCTGTACGCTACAAACTATGCTTGTTTCCTCAGGTAATTTCAAGTGACCCTCCATGCAAAGGTGCTGATGTATGATTCACAACAGCACCCTGGAAACCTTTATCTCATTAATGATGAGGAAAATATTGTCGTTTCTCTAGCGTCATAACTCATAAAGCACAACTCAAAATTACTTGTACACTTTACAGTACCTTTACCCCTCCTTGTTTATTCTTGTTGTATTCAGAAGAATCCAGAGGAAAGCCTTCTTTTGAATTTGAAGGATGGTCATAACCCGACCGATCCTGTTGTTCGGAGGTAAACAATCATTTTCAATTATTGTTAACGATCTAACCATTAAGGAACGGTAATTTTTTTAGCAATTGTTGATTAGAAGAGTCAGTTGTTATAATTGGCCCTTCATTTAAAAAGGGGCAGAGACGGTTCACAATGGTACCTACATCTGATCAGTAAAGTGTTTTATTTTTATCTGACTTGAAAAGTGTTAAATTCTGATAATATCTTTGTTTTTGAAGCACAAAATGCGTAAGTCACTTTTGCAGATAAACCGTTAAATAAAAAGAAACAGTTTTCAAAAGCAAAAACATGCATGATATCTAATCCATACTTGATCAGATAATGATTTGAAGGGTACCGTTGTGGATCTGACATCCCACTCTAGAACTGCAGGATCACTTGAAAATACGTTTACTGCAGTTCCTTTCAAAGCTTGAAATGAAAATGTTTAGATTTGCTGAGAATGGATTGGTTCAGGGTGATTTTGTTCATGTATTTGTTGATCCTAAAACTGAGAAACCTGTTCATATTTCTCAAGAGTGGAGATCCAAACTAGACCTTCTTACAAACCATTATTAACCCTAGCTAATCGGACCTCTTATGTACCCACTTCCTAATTGTGAACCCCCCCTCCTCCTCCAGTGCACGGCCCACCCCAGCCTGAATAGTGAATATGGTTAACTAAATCTGAAATACAAATTATTTTTTGTTAAGGTTTTTGTTTTCTTTAAAAGAATTATACACTCCATTGATGAACGCTATAAGATGGGTTTAAAAATAAACAAAAAATAACTTATGAAGAAATTATATTTAATATAAAATGATGTATTTTTGAAAATATATATATTTGTATATATGTTAGCCATAGCTAGCCAAACGGCTGGACCAAATTTGCTGAAAAAAATTAAACTTTTTTCAAAATTCGAATTTTTAATTATTGTTATTATCTAATTTTTAATACTTTAATGTTACGGGCCCAACTGTATAATCTTTGCTTTACTGTAGATTTAAAATAAATTTCTTGGATCAAATTAACTACAATAAATATATGGCCTGAATAAGAGAATGCAAATTGCAAACCTTTGTTGTTGTGCAGAGTGCAAAATCGGAAACTTAATGAAATAATCCAACACAGATTATTCTTGGATTAAGATAGTGAATGAAGATAAAATAATTTATGATTTAAAATTTTAAAACCAACAAATCATTAATTTTAGTGTACTTGCGTTTACATTAATAAAATACAAATAGCTAAAGTAAATAGTCAGCAGTTAGAATTGTTATTCTTTCTCTGTTTTGCAAATTTGAATTTCAAAGAGATATATTCTTTAAAAAAGTATTCCTTCACTACTCAGACTGACACTGACTCCACTGACGTGTATGAAAAGAAAAAGAAAGAAAAAATTGCAAGATCTGTATAAAACAAAGTTCTTTAACCATGGGTCACCCTGTACTCCAAGAGCAGACTTTGGGTTTCCCTGTACTCCTAGTATGGACCCCGGGTCCCCCTGGTGTCGAGCAAGTTCCTCCTTTTCTCTCATGTGTCGACCATAGATCCCTCTCTACTCCTAGTGTTGACCATGTTTCTCCTTTACTCTCTGTGTGGTCCATGGGTCCCCCTGTAATCTAGGATGAGGTGGAGGGGGGAAGGTAAAGGATTCAGATGGCGGGGAAGGTTAAGGATTCATGTGGAGGGGGAAGGAAGTGATCAGGTGGCGGGGGAAGGAAATGATCAGGTGGAAGGGGAGGAAAACATCGAAATAAATCTTTGTGACTTTTCACAACATTGCTGACACATAATTTCTAGCAAAGACTTTAATAATATGCAGCATCTATAATCTGTACATAATCTTTTGTTTCTCCCTTGGGAAACCCAGTTTTTAAAAACAAGCTCTTCATTAACCTCTGAACATTCATTGCGTTAAGGTTTAGGTCCATAAAATAAATTTTTTATTACAGTACAGGAGGCTTTACTAGTTAAGTATTGATTAACCAGCTTTTTATCGAATTAAAAATGAAAAATAATATGGAGAATTAAGCTTTATTAATTAAATTGATATAAATTAAAAATTGAAATGACAAGTCAACTTCATTGTATTGATATAATCCCCTAAAACTGTATTAGTAGTATTTAAAAAGTTTCAAAGAGTAGAACTCTTGAGCAATGATAAATGTGAGGGGGGGGGGGCAAGGACGGAAAGTGAGTATAACTAAAGTCCTATGTTAGGATTGTAAACTATGGAGAACGGAAATTGGTCGGAAACCAACGTCAGTTTTGTAACTTGCAGGAATCCACCACATTTGAAACACAGTTTACAATATAATTGTTCTAAAATCATAGTTATAACTAGGGATGTTAAAATATTCATTTTTTGAAAAGCGATAGTTTCGTTGTGAAAACACGAAAATAAAACGATAGATTTGTAAAATAGTTAGTTTTCTTAAACAGTCGTTTTCAAAACTATCGTTTTTAAAAAAGATTGCTTTTAATAAAGCTCGTCGTTTGTTAAAACTCGTTAATGATGAAACTTTGTTAACGACTGTTAACAATTACCCATTGTTAACCGATTGTTAACTATGAGAAGAGGAGATGAAACCGACCTGAAGTGCATTAGTACCTATAATTTAGTAGATTTAAAGAAAATATCAAGAAGTTTTAGCTACCCCACAACCTTTTACCAACATGTAAGAGAACATTTTATAAAGTTGCATATTTATCAATGACAGCTGTTTTCAAAAACGATTACATTTTTTAAAACTACTGTTTTTATTAAGTTTGTTGTTTCATAAACAATCGTTAACGATCGTTAATATATTTAATATTTAAAAAAAATGTTTTAAATAACAACCATGTAAAAACGGTCACTTTCAAAATTACCGTTATCAAAAACGATTGTTATTCATTTTCTAAAAGTCATAACCAATGGGTTGTTTTCAAAAACTATCATTTTCTTTCTTAAAACTAAACGATAATTTTGAAAAGTTGGAAAAACGAAACAAATGTTTAAGGATCATTTTCAAAAACAATTAACAACCCTAGCTATATCCAGTAAACTGAGGAATAAGGAGCATTATAGCAATACTTAAATGTATTTGATGCTATAACTAGTAATTTAGTTTATCACTTACTAGCTTCGGAACCCATAGTGTTGCCCAGGGTAGTCCTGGATAATCTTGCCGTTTACCCACTTTTATCTATTTTTTCCCAATAAATGTCGACCCACTCAACTTAGGATCTCAAAGCTAAGTAAATTCACATGGCCCTCCTGAATTCCACAACTAAAATTTTAGGGAAAGACAGACAAACATATATTACAACTTTATATACAAGGATTATTTTAATGGGGTCTGTTAACATCATTTATTACTTGCTGTGTCTCATTTCCATTGGTATACTTAAAGTCATAACTTAAGTCTTAAGTGGCCTTCCTATTTCAGAGTTTTCGGGTTCTCAATGTACACTTAACACTGGTATCCATAAATCTGTGAAATAGGAGTATAAAGCAAATATTCTCAACAATAAAATCAGCATGGTAATTATAGTAATAAACCAGTGCATGTGTTTTATGGTAAAAGATCAAAATCATTACTTTAGACAAAAAACCATCTTCCTATTCTACAATTTTAAGTGTCTTAAAAAATTTCTTTTTTCAAAATTTTAATTCTGTTTTTTTATAAATAGTTTATTCAAAATTTAATAAAAATTTCCTAGAAAAAATTTTAAAACAATCGATAAATAACAACAATAAAATTACGATTTTTTAAAAACCAATTAAGAATGGTTGTGACAAATTGTTGACAACTATACAAGATTAACAGAACGTAGACAAAACTTATGTTACCAGTTTTTAGTGTAATATAGCCTGTAGAGTAAGTAAAGCAACTAATGATTTAATATAGTAATATAGGTCAGTAGAAGCAAAGAAGTTTTAAAATAAAAGAATTTCTAAAATAAAAAGTATTCACAGCTTTAGTTTTTTTTACAAACCTGACTGGGCCCATATCAAAACGAATTATTTTTAATTTTGTATTTAAAGAAAATATATATGGATTCCATTTTTGGTTTTTAAATTCTTCGGTCAGTTTAAAATGTACTTGAAATTCAAATAAAAAAAATGTCTTGGGATTTTTAAAACGTGTTCTGCCATTTATACCTTTAAAGTTGACCGAGATAAAACAATTTGAAAATATTTCTATTAAATTCAAGTCAAATTATCAAAATACCTAAATTGTAATATCTCCGTCAATTTTAGTATTGCAAGAAGGCTACATTTGATTTCTGGAATACCTTTACATCCAGACAATTTTACAGTCATCTTATAATTCCCATGCTTATCTGGATTCTAAAAACTCTTTAATAGTTTTTGTTCGAGCTGAACATCTTATCCATGGCGGATAGAGGCGGAGCACTGCTAGGAGAGGAACTAGGTCTAGTAAACGGAGGCGGAGAGTGGCGGATTGGTCTAAGACTAGGCCCAGATAATACCGGCTGTATTCCACTAATAGTCTGAAATGTACCAATGATAATATGACTCAAAAGATGAATATTTCATTTTCTATTTCAGAGAAAAGTCAAGTCTTTTGACCCTTATGAGAAAAACTTCATAAATTAACCAACAAAAGAAATAAAATCTATCAATTTTTGATCATATTATTTTAGTTTCGCTAGTTTTGAGGAATAACTGCTTCAGACAATATCAGCAGTGCTTAGGATCCATTTAATTTTGATGGGGATCAAGAATCCGCACTGGAAATAAATTGATCAGGATCCAGGTCATGAAGATTTATCAAATTTATTTCTTCCTTTTTTCGCTTATCTTTATGCACCAGCTTGAAAAACCATTTTGATCGTGTTCAGCAGTTCATATCGAGATTTGAGAGCAAAAGATTTTTTTTAATGTTTTGACCTTGAATCCGCATATTTTTGAGGATCCGGATCCAGGAAGTCAAAATGTTGTGGATCCAACTGATCCTGATCCTAAGCACTGGAAATAAGCATGACAATTATCTATATTAAATTTTATGAAAACATCTAAAGGACCTGAACTGAAGGAGAAATAACGCTATGTTTAAACCACGGAGTATGAAATTGGAGGGAGATACAACTGACGCGGCCTGCCCTACCATATGATTACACATGCTTTGCAGAAAGGTACTCCATTTGTTTAAGAAATATTCAGAATAGGTTATTGTATACGCGGTAATTGTATATCAGACAAATATTTCTTATTCAAATGAAGTACCGTCTGCAAAGCATGTATAATCATATGGTAGGGCGGGCCGTGTCAGTTATATCTGTTCTATTTCATACTCCTTAGTTTAAAGTTTAAACCCAAAGGATAATCTGTATTCTGTATACAATGAAGGTGTTTATTGTTTACAGAAAGATTTGCTGATCCGATCAGAATGCTTTAGAGGGAGTAATATTTGTTCTAAAGTGGGGACTGTATAATATAAATACTGCAGCAATGAAACATTTAGTAACTTAAAGGGACTCAATGTGAAACTAAGAATATATATATGTGAAACTAAGAAAAATCCAAAATATTTTTTATTTTAGACTATTTTTTCCGGTGCCGCCGGAAAAAACGTGATTTTTTTTGTCAATTTTTGAACTTTATTGATTTTATTTCTTAAAACTTTTATAAAATCCAAAGTTTTTGACTGAGAATAATGTTTTATATCATTTTGGAAATCCCAGATAATGGTCTAAAAGATAAAACTAACTTATACTGAATATTTTGAAAATTCATAGTGTTATAAGCAGTTTTAGCCCCAAAAGCATCGATTTTATTGATGCGCACTTACACCTCACTAACATACCCTGAGAACTGAACAAAAATTTTTTTTTCATTTTCTATATTTTATACTTATTCTAAAATGTCATTACTTTTTGAAATATCTTCAAAAATGGTCGATTAATGAACAATTCAAAAAACTCCAGTTTTTTTTAGTTTTTTGAAAATTGTAACTCTCTTATAATTTAATGACGTGTTTGGACATTTTGAACTTGTTCTTTTAAAATGTTCACAAAATACATAGTTTTGCCTTGGAATGTTGTTTAATATCATTTTGGAAACCCCAGATACTACTTTATAAGACAAAATTAAAAAATTTAAAAAAATTGTTGAAAACTATTTTATTCTCATGTAAGTTTTAGTCGAAAAATAATCTGTTTTTTTACTATACACTAACCTTGTCAAAACACTCACTGACAAATATTAAAACATTTTTTTAGTCTATTCTTTTTTAAGTCAGTAGAAATATTTCCAGAGCTAAAAACTTTTGAATGAGATATTCTTAATCCCGATCAGTTAATTAATCTGGAGATTAATAACAAGAGGAGAACAAGCATTATTTAATCTCGAGATTAAGAAAAAGAGTGGATCAAGCATTAATCCCGATATCTAGAAATCAAAAGTTCCCAGCTCAGATATAATCCCATTTGCATATGAGATGAAAATATCTCTGGTACAGTAGAGAGCTTCTGTATGAATTCATCAGGTACATTGGGGAATTGTTCATTTGGCATAGGGACAAAAGGAAAAATTTTCATAGATTCAATAGACTGACAGACATAACTGTTCTCCAATCAGTCCTTTTCTTGAGAATGGCCCTGATTTTTCGCCACATTAAGTTGCTCAGTAGGTTTCTTGCTGCAAGTTCACAGAAATGTAGTAAACGGCAGTTTCAAATCCAAATTTTGTCTGCTTTATTGTGTTTCAGACGATCTCTTTTGATTGTTGTGTACAAGAATATTTTCGAAAAATTATATATTTTTCCATGACAATTGAGAAAAACTTGCAATGCTATGAGAAGAAAAAAATTATCATGTTTAACTTATAGCTTGATATTAAATTGTGTCCAACCTTGACCTGAAGTTAAAAATTGACGATTCTACAAGGATTTCAATACATTTCATTAAAGTGGAGGAAAATTACTTTTCTTCAAAAACATATCACTTCAAAATGTTTATAGATTTCTCAAGTTGTCTAGTTAGCACTAGTTATCAAGCACAAAAGTTCTCGATGGGTTCCTCTGTTGTATGTAAAGTTGCATATGGAGGAACCAGTACTGGGAACAATCAACGGGAGCTGCAGAGAGGGTGTAATATCCTAGTTGCTACTCCGGGCAGACTACTGGACTTCGTCAGCAGAGGAAACGTAGTCTTCTCTAACATCCAGTTCTATGTGCTTTATGAAGCTGATCGTATGTTAGACATGGGTTTCGGTCCAGACATTAACAAGTGCATGTCCCACCGGACCATGCAGACCAAGGAAAACCGGAACACCTTGATGTTCTCAGCCACCTTCCCCGAGGATGTGCGAATAAACGCAAGACAGTATTTACGCCAGGATAAGATTTTCCTGTCAGTTGGCATTGTTGTGTACGTCAGACTTTTTATCAGGTTGAAAAGAAAGATAAGAAGGGAAGACTTCTGGAGCTGTTGAATGACCTGGAGAGGAACCCATCTGAGAGGATGTTGATCTTCATCAACCAGAAGAAGCAGGCTGACTTTTTGGTGAGTTTTATCACTTTAGTGGGTAAGAAGCCAGCAACCAGCATTCACGGAAATCAGCTGCAGCGTGAACGAGAGCAGGCTTTGGGAGACTTCAAGCGAGGAGATCGTCCTATCCTAGTTGCTACAGCTGTAGCTCCTCGTAGTCTTGATATTCCCAACATTGAACATGTTGTTAACTATGATATGCCAACCGATGTTGATGAATATGTTCACAGGGTTGGGCATACTGGGCGTGTTGGCAACATCGGATTTGCTACAAGTTTCTTTGACCCGCAACAAGACTCGGGCATAATGGTTCCTCTATGTTCTATTCTCAAACAGTCTGGTGTAGAACTTCCGCCTTTTCTTACTCAGGGCGGATACAGAGACTATGGGGCAGCTGGAGCCGATGAGGAGTGGTGATCACTCAATGATCTAAAGGAAGAAGTCGAGTTTTTTGTTTAAACACCTTCCTAGCCTCTCGTTATCAAGTATTGTCATGCAACTTATTTAAATCAGTTATTTAGTTAACTGCTAAGTTGCATTAGAAACTAGTATGTTAATGTTCAAGATCTGACGCGTTATACTTGCGTTCAAAATTGCGATGCTTTTGGAGTACTCAGGAACTAGTTAATTAAGTCTGCGGAGCTTAAACTTTAGAATGGTGGATATCGAAATCAATGCTTGATCTCCTTTTTTTTCTGAATCTCCAGATTAGTTTACCCGTCTGGATGATATCCCATTCTAAAGTTTTCAGCTCAGATCTGATTCAGAATCTGGCAGATCTGTTGACAGGAATGGTAGTTCCTGAGCAGTTTAAAAGCGTCGCAATCAAGAGCTCTACTCCCCCCTCTATCAGATATAAATTGTGAAAATTGTGATATTGTAAATATTGCATGATAGTAATAAAGAACTGCTAAAGCATTTTCCAAGGCTGAGTCCAACCCCTTGTGCTAACTGCACTCTTGGGGAAGAAGCCTCCAGTTACCTGTAGGTTCACAACAGTAGGATTATCAATCTGTCCAGAGTATCCAGCAACAGCAGCAAGAACTTCAATATTGACTCCTTGTACAGGTTCAAAAGTTAAAACAGAAACAATAGATAATGTTTCAAAGAAACCATCCCTACCTTTCAGGATGTCAAACCCTACAATAGAAATCCATTCCTTGAAGAGGGAAGCTTCATTACAGTCTTGGAACTTTACATTCAGAAACATCTTCTTCTCCTTGATATCAAACCTCTCTAGAGCAGATATTCTAATAATTAACATCCAGGTTGTTCCATTTCCCACAACCATTCTCACTGGAAACTTACATGAATCTTTTGAATCTGTTTCTAGAATAGGAGTTGAAAAAACTTCTCTACACTTCTTGTAGTTATCCCTTTGAGTACAAGCAATCTCAGATGAAGTTTTGTCAATCTCTACCTCTTGTAATTCAGCAGCTAGGAGGACACTATAGAAGGACTTGCTATCCTTCTTTGTGTTTTCTTTGAGAAATTCCACAGCTGCCTTGATATCATAGCTTGAAGAAGTTCCAATTTCTATCTCCTTTACCTAATTAGTGTTCAGAGAGGCCTTAGAAATGGATCTACTTGACAACACTGTATCAATTTTATTCTCATTTGGATGAGCCCAAGATAGATTGTTTAAAGATATATCTGTCTTCAGATGAAATCCTAGGGAAGCTCCTTCAGGAAAACAATCTTAAACTCCTAGGTCACATGACTTACTTTGTATAGAGTTATCAAGAAATTTCTTCATAATAATCTTGTTCCTCCTGACAGAATCCAATGATTCGTGATCTAAATCAATTATCTTCTCAAGTGCAAGTTTCTCAAAGTTAGGAGCAAAATGATTTTTAGAAATAAACATCTCTTTCTGTTCAGGATCATCTATGAGATTCTTTCTCCTTCCATATCTATGTGAATTTGCAGCAGCAATTCAGAAAAACAACGTAGGTATCTCTACAATGTATCAAGTGTAACTAACAAATTTGTAGGAATAAAATGCATTTGACTAAATCTAAAAACCGGCTTCTTATGAAGATGTAGTACGAAACTTATACAGTCTGCCTCAGGGGCGCGGTAGAATTTCTTCAACATCAATAGGGGCACCTTGATCAGGACGAGACAATTTCTTCAGTTCAGACAGTTTGGAGTGATGATTTCCCATCTAGACCATGAAGATAAGAACTATTACCTTTAGCAATTGGAACATCATCTATCATGTTTGCCACCCTGGCACACAAAGTTTCCCACTGCATACAGGTCATTCTAGTATCACTCTTGATAGCAAGTTTTTCCAACATGGATCTCATAACCTTAACTTTACTCTCTACACGGCCTCTTTCCTAATGGGATTTTGCATTAGAGACTTTTACTGTTAAACCCATGCTGTCATATACACGTGCATTCAAATCTCTCAGGCTGAAGCCAGTGCTTTGAAGATTAACTAGCTGAGTTCCATTGTCAACATAAGCGTTTGCAGGGACACCATACCTGGAACTGTGACACTTAATAGCTTGAATAACATCTTGGATTTCCAGTCCTTCCAGTGCTAAAATGTTTGTTACAGATGTAAATAAGCATACTATAACCAGTGAATATATTTTAACACCTTTTCTGGCTTGCTTGTAGGGGCTGACCCTTGAATCCATATACAGTATCTATCATAACATTGTAAAACACAGGAGCAATTTGAGTCCTAGGAAAAGCATGCTTTGCCATCTCCAGTTCAACTGTCTTCTTCATGATCAACCTGCACCTAGGGCAGTCTTCTCTTATTCTCTGAATGATTCTTCTAGGATTGTTGATCACATGCATTACTTTGGATATTTCCCTGTAAGTAATTTCTACTCCAGCATGAGGTTGCACCACTGAATGGACATAAATGCATAAGCAAAAAACATTGGCGAATCTGATCCTACAACTGGAAGTACTGAGTTGATTGACTGATTGTCGTATAAAACTTCTACCTCAACATCCTTCTCTGATATGGGGTTATCATCTGAAAGTCTACCTGGGTATAAGTATATCATGAACATGAAAATGAACTGCTCTAGCTTCTTCTTGGGAAGTAGGATCTTCAATCTTTTAGATTCCTCCCTGAAGAGGCACCCTTTTGATAGCCATTCACATAGAGCTCCAACATCATCCCACTTAGAATTTTCATCCAGGATATAGCATATATGACATCTTGTCATTAGGGAATCATTAATTTTTGGTTTACACAAGTACCATGTGTTTTATTAACCATAATTTGGTATACCATGATAACTGTTTTCTTCAAAAACCTAACAGTCTTAACCCATCCAAGTTTAATGACATTGAAGTGAATGTTAGATGACAATTGCGAATCCCTTCCCCCAGCAGAGTGTGCAGTGAAGAATATAATACAATTGCAGTTGTCACAGTGATCAAAAGCATCAGATTTTTTATAGCAAGTATTCCAAGGAAATCTAGTAAATGCTTCAGGAGTACTGGATGTGCAATGATTTAAACCTTGGTTTGTAGATCCAAGTGAGGAATTTTGATCAAAACTATTCAGAGTAAACTTACTCTGAACAGTTCCAACTACAGATGAGTTGGCAATCTCAATCAAAGGTTCCAAAAAACACTCATTTAAAACTTCACTTACTTCTTTATCAGAGTATGAAAGATCTGAGAATTTAGTTATGGGCATTTGGTCTAGAGGAAGAGTCCTCCATTTGTAACCATTCATCCATAAAGAGTTTAGTCCCAAATCTAAGGGTTTGATCTTCATTGGCTTGGCTAGCATATTAGCAACATTTTCTATTCCATCTATATGGTACAATGGTAATACCTCATAGGGGCCAATTGTCCATTCTACTGTGGTTCTGATAGCTGCAACCCTTAAGTGAACAAATGTTTTCAACCTTTTGGAGGTGTTTTGGCACCAACACATGGCAATAGTGGAGTCAGTAAAGTATAGGACATCTTGAACTAAATCTCCAAGGGCCTTCTTTGTGACAAAAGCTAACTTAGCCATCTCAACAATTGCAGACAGTTCATTCCTAGGGATGCTTATATCAAATAGCTTGCTTTTGGAAGTCAGAAGCATACAACTGTAACTACCATCATGTAGTAGAAATCCTGCATAAATTGCAGTACCACCTGCACCTACAGCTGCATCGCTAACACACACAAGTCACATTTTAGTTGGATCTACAGCATTAACAGGGACCACACATCTAGGGGTCTTCAAGTTTGGAAGTTCAACAAATTCTTTAAACCTCTCTGACCAATGATGCTGCAGCTCTTCATTAAGTTCCAGATCCCAGTCTACTCCATTCAGGGTTGTTTGCTCAAGTTTCAATTGCAATTTGTATGGCTCCCAAAGGCCTATAGGGTCAAAAATCTCTGCAATTTTAGAAACAACAATTCTCCTTGAAATCTTGATGGAGGAAAGAATTATAGATGATGACTTCTCTCACTCTCCATAGGTCCCAGAACTTCCAGTGATGAGAAATACTTGACTGCAAATCTAGATATAGATGAAATGCAGAACAGAAACTATGAATTTTCAAAATATTCAGTATAGATCGATTTAATTTTTTAGGCCATTGTCTGGGATTTCCAAAATGATATAAAACATTATTCTCAGTCAAAAACTTTGGATTTTATACAAGTTTTAAGAAATAAAATCAAAAAAGTTCAAAAATGGCTAAAAAATCACGTTTTTTTCGGTGGCACTGGAAAAAATGGTCCAAAATAAAAAATATTTTGGATTTTTCTTAGTTTCATATATATCTATTCAAAAGAAAAATTGCACCTCTGAACAATTTTTAAAGGGCCGCCCTAGGCCCACCCTACCATATGATTATACATGCTTTGCAGACGGTACTCCATTTGTACAATAACCTATTCTGAATATTTCTTATACAAATGGAGTACCTGTCTTCAAAGCATGTATATTCATTAATCATATGGTAGGGCTGCGTCAGTTGTATCTCCCTTCTATTTCATATTCCTTGTTCACTAGACATAATAAATATAAATATCTAAATCCTCATATTCTGATTTAATTAATTCAGTTCATTTATTCCAATCTATTGAATTAAATCTGTTTAAACTTATATGAGTATGAACTATTAAACTGATAGCCGAGCCAAGTTTTTTGCTCTTTTTTATAATGGTATGATTGGTAATTAGGAATTTTTTCTTAATACGGGTTGTTTAGGGGGATGCACATCAACCATTAGGGGGGTGCACAATTTTATTTTTTGATGCGCTTATGCGCGACAGAAGTGCACTCCCCCCCCAAGACAAACCTCCACTACACCCCTGATTAAAAAGAGTGTGTAGAGCATAATTTTTAATTAAACCCCCCATTTATGAGAATTTCTCGTTTTCCCCTCTGAAAATTGGGAATTTTTCTTTTTAGGTTTTCTAAAAAAATAACTGGCGGATTTATGGTACAGAGACAATTAAGAAAATTAAAGAAATTTAACAATTTCTAGGTAGAAAAACGACAATTTCCTCATTATTGTTTCTCAGGTTTGAAGGGAATCACTGTAAATTAGACATGTCATTCTTTTTTTCATGCATGAAGGGTCACATAAAATGCACATTCTCTCTTCATTCCTTTTAAGCCAAGTACGACCCTTCAAAAATGGACCACCCTGAACCCCATGAACTTACTCTTTGATTGGTAGTTGGAGGTTGTGGTCTGGTTGAATCCCTCCAGATCATAGCAACAAGGAGATAAAATCCTCCCACCAACTTACTCAATATATTCATTGTACCCAGGGCTAGTGGTGTACTCCTCTCAACTAGATAACAATGTAGATTGTGAATAACTTAAAGGGAATTTAAGCGTAATTTAGTGATAGCAACGTCAAATTCCCAAGGGTATCCTTCAAGTCTTTATCTGATCACTAATATGAAAGATATTGTCTGTTTCCTTCCTAGGTTAAAAAGTATTTTGTTCTAATAATTCTTTTATGTTTTCCAGCAGTAGAAATGCGCATTGCGCAAGTAATTTTTGTAGAGCAACCACAACTGAAAACAATAAGTGTTCAAAATTATAAAAATGGATAAATAATTCATCCTGGATCAGACAGTCATCAAGGGTACCATTGTTAATCGGGCATTGCCATCTTTCCATGGAGCATCACTTGAAATTTCGCTCTCAGTCGCTGAAAGATTTACAACCAGTAAATTTGTTTCCCGCCATTTCTAGGGGAAGGTGCAAATCATTTTCGAAGATTAGAGGGACAGGCCCCGACATCATGTCAGATTGTGCCACGTGCTAGGCCTATATTAAACATTTTGAGACACAACGAGAAATTTTGAAAGACGAAATTTTTCTAAAAACTTGTTTAGGGCTAATTTACAAGAAGAAGATACATCATTTCTTTAATATTCTAAAAACCAGATTTAATGAATTTAGCAAGACAATCTTAAACAGCGCCAACGTTGTTCAACCCTAGTATTCAGTTTGAATCCGCGTAATAGTTCAACCACGTCTGCTTGCAGTTCGCTATTTATTAAATCTAGTCCCTTCGCTGCACTGGACATGTTTAGGCCTTCATGCGATAATTTATATTTAAAGGTTTGTACTTTTTATAATTTGTTTAATATTAATACAATGTAAGAAGTTGAATCGAGAATGCTTGATCCTGTAACAACTAAAAATGATTGGCTAAATATTGGATTTCTGATAAAAGGCAATGTCTTTCCATATTCTCTATTGTAAGATAAAGATAAAGGTTGATAGTAATGGTTTCTTCAGAAGCTGAACATTTTTAATCATAACTTCACATCAGCAGTCTGCAGTTTAGCATTTCATGGAATAACTCAATTCTTAAATTGTTAGATAAATCTTTTACTTCCATCTTGTTTCATTTAATTACTTGTGAATTAATAAATCTTATTATGCCATTTTTATGTTTTCAAACAATCGCTTAAAGAGACTGTAGGCATAATTCCAAGTGACCCTCAAAGCGAAGATGGCAATGCCCGATTTACAACAAAATCCTTTAAAGCTTTATAGCATGAATTATTTATGAACGTTTTCGTGTCTTTAAACTGTATATTTTGATTTGCAGTATCTCTGCGAAAAGGACTTGCGCATTTCTTCTTTATAAGAAGCAATGAAGAAACTCGCATAAATAAAGATTTTTCGACTGTATCTTCCACATTTTTGATCAGATTAAGGTTTCAAGGGTACACCGTTGTAAATCGGGCATTGTAATCTTTGCATGGAGAGTAACTTGAAAATACGCTTATACGTCTAATAATTATTTTGAATTTAAAATTTGCGGCAGAAAATATTTTGTTTTATAATAGCCCCCCGAAAATATGTAAAGCCCCAAAATAATTAGTTTGAAAACAAGCTCCAAAATTAAATTTTCTTGAAAAAAATTACAGGATGAAAGCATTCGTGCCGACAATAAATTACAAGTTTGTTTGTTTACCTAAGAATGCCAGTTCATGCAGGGTTCTTAACATGAAGTTTGCTCCTAATTTTAATCCAGACAAAATTCCAGCCAACATTGCCATCAATAATACACAACAGAGCCGGCCTAAACAACAATCAGGTTTAAAGAATGGTGTATCTTTAGACCTAAGCACATCCGCTATAATAAACTTCCGACCTACTTAGAACAATGGTTTTACAGCTCTTAGAAATTGTCATAACCTAACTCAATAAATAGACAGCTGTCGTGTTCGAATATTGCGGTAGGTCGGAGAGTTAGTAGGTCAGACGTTCAGTAAAGCGGATGTAGCGTATAGACGATGTAACATTACAGTAAAAAGTGAATTTCCACGAAACTTTCTCATCAACAAAGTACATCAGGACCAGAATTATTAAAAAGTGGCTAGTGAGAAGTAGCTGTACCGTCGACGTGGTTCATCTACTTCTCTTTTGCGCTGGTTAGAGCAGAAATTAATATTAATATTCTACCATGTTCCGCTATTCATTGAATTTAGTCCCTGGAATCTTAAAAAACGCTGACATAGAACTTATTTCCGCTTTTAAATCTTTTATAAATTACTTCTCATTATATTAAACAAAATCAACGACTGTTGACAATTAAAAATAATTAAGAATTTAGTTTAACAGTTTTGTTCATATTTGAAAAATGAATCTAAACATTTTTAAAATTTAAGAGATGAATATTAAATATGTCAAAATTGCAAATCGTTAAAATGTTTAACAAGGCTTATTTACATTTTAAATATTTAAATCTTTAAGGAGTCGCAATAACCGGATGGGTTTAAAGGGAGTGTTCGCGAAACATTAAAGAGGGTAGAGACGGATCCCGAATTGAATTCGGTTTTGAAAACCTACCTAGCTTGACAGCATTTTCATAAGAGAGATACGGAAGAACATTGTTTAAAGATTGGGTTGGGTGCCAGTGCTCTTCTAATATTTGACTCACAACACCCTCTAGAGAATATAAGAGTAAATAATGATAGGTTAATAACAAACTAGAATGCAAATTATAATTTTTTTGCTGTACAACAATTTAGGATTTAATCTTTTTTGAAAAATTGCTGTCAGTGCTTAGGATCCTGGATCTGCTGATAAGCATCGTTTTGAGGCCCGGTTTTAGATATTCTAAGTATTTCGAATTCTAAGAGGCTCCACAAAAATTTGAGACGTGAAACTTATTTTAAAATTCATGCTAGTCAAGATTGCTTTATTACGTTTTGCAATATTTTTAGCCTAACCAAAGATATTAACAAAAACGATTTTTAAAACGATTAGAACATCATTTTCTGTTCTGAAAAATCGTTTTGGTTAATGAAAAAAACGCATAATGTAAAAAAAGAAAACTTATCAAGGAAACAATTTTGCAATCTATTTAATAACCTAAATAAAATAAAAGCAAACTTATCGAGGAAACAATTTTTCAATCTATTTAATAACTTTGTGAAACACTTTTCACGCGCAAAAAATATCGAAAAACTATTGCTCATCTCTCATCAGTATCTGGATCCACACTGGAAAAAATTAATCCAGATCCAGATCCAGGTCATGAACATTTCTTGCAGTTTTACTGATTTTTAGGACAAAAGAAGTTCAAATTATGTTTCTGCTTTTTTCTCGTTATTTCTATTTTAAAACTTGATTCAAAGAAAAGGAAATTTTTGATAATCACTTATTTTTCAACATATTAGATTTTGGTTTTGAAAGAAAAAGATATTTGGTTGAAGTTTTTGGTTGACATATTACTCCTTGGATCCGGATCCGCATTCGGATTTATGGCTCTTCAAGTATTACACACTCCAGTTTGACCCGCAGCACAGTTGATAACTATCCTACTCTAAAGCATATATACTGTAGTACATCCCCTGAACTGTTTAATTTGACCAGCTGCTGATAGCTGACCTACTCTAGAGCATATATCCTGTAACACAGCTCCTAAACTGTTTAATTAGACCAGTAGCTGATAGCTGACCTACTCTAGAGCATATATCCTGTCTCCTAAACTTTCTAGTTTGACCAGCAGCTGATAACTGACCTACTCTAGAGCGTATATCCTGAAGCGTAGCTCTTAAGCTGTCCAGTTTGACCGGTGGCTGATTGCTAACTGATAACTGACTTACTCTAGAGCATATATCCTGTAGCACACCTCATAAACTGTCTAGTATGACAAGCGGCTGATAACTGACCTACTCTAGGGCATATATTCTGTAGCACAGCTCCTAAACTGTTTAGTTTGACTAGTTGCTGATAACTGACCTACTCAAGAGCATTTATCCTGTAGCACAGGTAAACTGTCTAGTTCGACAAGGGGCTGATAAATGACCTACTCTAGGGCATATATTCTGTAGCACAGCTCCTAAACTGTTCAATTTGACCAGAGGCTGATAACAGACCTACTCTAGATCATATATCATATAGCACAGCTCCTAAACTGTCTAGTTTAACCAGCAGCTGATAACTGACCTACTCTAGAGCATATATCATGTAGCACAGCTCCTAAACTGTCTAGTTTAACCAGCAGCTGATAACTGACCTTCTCTAGATCGTATGTCCTGAAGCGTAGCTCCTAAGCTGTCCAGTTTGACCGGTGGCTGATTGCTAACATTAAGTTCTCGCTGCCGACATCTCCAACAGCTTTGTTCATCAGATACTAGGAACTGTCTAAAAACATTAAAGAATTATTTAAGAACACATTGTGAACATTTTATACCATTTTAATATTTTCTAAAATGAATGCAATAGTTTGGAAAATATGGAAATATTTTATAAAATAATAATATTAAATTGAAATATTTCGTAAAATAATGTTTTGTAATATTTTGGAAAATAATACGTATAATCTGGAAAATAATGTATTGTAATATTTTGAAAAGTATTATAAATTTTTTGAAAAACTATTGCATTATCTGTTATTTTTAATTACCTCAAAACGTAAATATCACAGCAGAACCCAACATTTGGCAGAAATATAATTTGACGGATCTAAAAATAACAGGATTAAAACAAGTTAATTAATTTAAATTCATTTCATTTACAATCTTTTAAATTACTGGGAATATACTCTGTAAACCCTGGATAGAGATGGGAACTCTGTAAACCCTGGATAGAGACGGGAACTCTGTAAACCCTGGATAGAGATGGGAACTTTGTAAACCCTGGATAGAGACGGGAACTCTGTAAAACCTGGATAGAGATGGGAACTCTATAAACCCTGGATAGAGATGGGAACTAAGTAAACCCTGGATAGAGATGGGAACTCTGTAAACCCTGGGAAGAGATGGGAACTCTGTAAACCCTGGATAGAGATGGGAAATCTGTAAACCCTGGATAGAGACGGGAACTCTGTAAATCTTGGATTGGACACAAAAATGGAAACTTCTATGAGCGCAGGGCCTTGAATGGGCTAAAAGCAAGCACACCAACCTAGCTTTTTACTCTCCTTCCACTGGATACTGGATTCCTCTAAGGATTTTCCCCTTTTCAGTGAAAAGAGAACGATTCCCCATGTTGAAACTGTGAGACAGCGCAGGGATTACAGTTTATAGCTCTTTAGTCTTTATACATCTGTTACCCCCTCACTCCCATCCCAGCGCAGCTAGTGGGTTACACAAGTCTGTCACAAGCCAGAAAAGCATTAAAACAGGGGATTATGGTATATAGCTCTTTATATATCTGTTACCCCCTCACTCCCATCCTCATCTTCGCTTTTCCTCTATCTACCCTCCTAATGCCACAGTGAGCATTTTGGAATTTGTTTCTCAGTGGACAGATGCTGTCACGCTGTGAGATCCGTTCTAAAGACCACTGGGCAGAACTGTAAGAATTTTTAGACACAAAACTCCAACTGCATAATACTCTTGGGAACATTTGCCTAAACCGGGATACTGGTCCAGGCAGGCTTTGTGGGAATTGCTAAGATGAAAACTGAGAGGGGATTCTCCGAACAAATTCAAGATGATATCATAATCCGCCCTACATCCCCCCTTCCCCTTTCCTTGTCTTCAAGATTAATCAACATGGGGAAGGTCACCCAACCTCTATACGCTAAAATCTTCAAACAGAACACATTGTTGAAAATGTGACAATTATAGTATACATGTTGAAACTTACAAAGAAAATGTGTCGCCTGCAGTGCAATTTAACAAAACACCAAATGAATAACTGAGCAGAGTGTCAAGAAATTCTAGTTTCAACAAAAAAATTTTTTTTTTCAAATTACCAGACAAAGGACAGCTAACAGGAGGAAGAAGAAAAAAATTATGAAGGAGAGAAATACAGACAAAAAAAATAAAAATGGAATATTTCTGTACTGCCTGTACCCAAGTAATAAAAAATTCACAAAAATAATAAATGTTAAAAAAAACGGAATATCTCCAGCATTCCATTTTCAGTAAGTTAAGAATACAACATTTTATAAATTCTTTCGATGTCTCCAAGGCATTGGGTTAAACTGTACCAGAACTAACTTTCAGTTTTTTAAACTCGAAATAAAAAAAATTGGGGTGATATCAAAGGGGATTTGGAGATGGGGGCAAGAACAGAGAGAAGGGGGGGGGCCTAAATTACCTGAAACCAGAAATGTCCAAATGGATACTGAGCAACACTACTGCTCGAACCAAGATTCACAAAAATTTTACATTCATCTTCATCTTTCTATTACAGAATTTATCATTCATCTCTGTTCAATATAAATAAAAAAACGCTCTTAAAATCTGGATCAACTATTAGTCTCCCTGGATCCTGATCCAGTGTTTCACTCACCGAATCTAAGGTTAAGCTACCTGGATCCGGATCCAACAATAAACCCCCCGGATCCAATAATAAGCCCCCTGGATCCAGATCCAATATTAAGCTCCCTGGATTAGGTCTGATGTTTGAATGGATCCAAATCTTCATTTAAGTTTGCAAAGAAAGGATCCAGGATCAGGATGCAGGTTCAGGATCAAAATTGAAAAGATCCCGAGCACTGAAGGAATTCCTGGGACCGGGTAAAAATTCATTTAAAACCTTTTCTTCGCATCAATCTAATAATTCCTTTTCAGAAAACTCATGTCTAGACTCCCGTAGGAAAAAACAGGGGTTAATATTTCCAACCTATTTTTCCAACATTTTTAATTTTTTTAAATCCCTCATCAATTAATTCATTTTTTCCTAAAATTTAAATTTGAACTTTAAAACAAAGATTTGAAAATATTTTCAAACAGGGAAAACTGTTGAACAAAATATACACCCCGGAGGAAAGCTGAATAATGAAAGTAAGTAAATTCTGCCTGATAAGAAAACCCAATAAAAGTATTTTCTCCTAATACTTTGGCAGATTTCCTGCAAACAATAGAACATAATCTTGGTATTCTTTATCTCTCCTTCTTATCACAATAAGTTGAAATAAGTTTTGTGGGAACAAATTATAAAAAATGCGTTAAGGGTGATGTAATACAATTTGTCAAAATATTTCAAATAAAAATGTAAGTTTAACATTGAATTTTTATTAATTAAGTTTGCAATTTTTTTGTAAAGGAAATACATTAAATTAAATTATAAAAAATGTGTTAAGGGTGATGTAATACAATTTGTCAAACATATTTCAAATAAAAATGTAAGTTTAAAATTAAACTTTTATTTTATTTTTGTCTTTAAAATTAAGTTTGCAAACTTATTGAAAAGGAAATACATTAAAAAGTCGTGTTAAGTACCCCTAATATCACATTAGTAGTATATAGAAGGGAGTAACATTATGAATAATTAATAATAATGTTCTTAATTTTTTTTTTCTTCAGTTTGTAATATGTTTCATATGAGTGATATAAAAGATTAACTTTATGATTATTTTATGGCATCTAACTTTTAATTTTTTCTTATTTTTGAGTAAATTGAATGTGTTTGTTTTTATTTCTCTCCTATTTGCTGTGGTTTTTTTCATGTCATTTTATCATTGTTTTGTTTGTGATTGTTTTATCTTTTAACCTAATGTTTAATGATACCAAGATTGATTTCCTGATTGCGTATCTGACTTGTTTCACAATTGGAGTCTCTCCTTGATCTACCACCAGAACATCTTTATACCTAGATTCAGAACATTAAAGGGATTGTTCAGGGTTTCTGACCGTAATAAAATTAGTAAAAATAAATTCACGAACTTTTTGAAATTATGAATTTATGCAAAACAATCAAAATCAAATCAAATCATATTTTACAGAGATCCTAAAAACTTAAAGATAAATTTTCAAAGAGAAATACCTATGTTTATCATTCATTCTTGATCATTCACATTTTTTAAGGATACCGCTGTGAATCAAACATATAAACGGAGAGTCACTTCCAATTGCGACAACAATCCCTTCAATAAAAATTAATTAAAAAAATATTTGCTCACCTTTCTATTGGATCTATAAACCGTCTCTCCGTATACCAACCAGAGAAAACCTGGCCACATAATCCATCACGCACTGCAAATAAAATTAGATTTTTTTTCTTCTTTTAGTCCTTGGTTCAAAATAAAGAAAACATGACACTTCCCAAACCCATTTAATTCCCCTTACAACATAAATTATTATGGGCGAGAAATCATTTTCAAAAAAATCATTCCAATCAATCATGAACAAAAACATAATTTTTTCTCACAAAAAATAGTACATGTAAATGTGGATACAGGATTCTATGTTGAACTATCAAAAGAAAAACTAAAATCTTGTCTTATTACTTACAATGTTTAAGAATTGAGTCTAGGGGTTGGACCCCTGTAGAGGCTAAACTCAGGGTAGAACTTGATCTACTCAAGTTTCCTACTTCACTCACTTATTTAAGGACTTAAAGACTTGAGATTTTAAAAGCTTAAACCCAAGTAAAATCCAGAGTTGGGCTCAGATAGAAACCAAGTTAGGATTGGCTCTGATTCGACCAATTGGAGACTGCTTAGAAAGCTTTCTCTCTGTAGCAGACAGATTACTAGCAGATCAGCTGTGACAAGGAGATGTAAATTTTGAAAATTCGAACTTTACGTAGATACATTATTTGTAAAATATGTTTATTTCATACACTACAAATAAATCCTGAGATTTTAAATGTACAAATTTTAAAGGTTTTTCGAAATTTACTTTCATCAGCTGCTGAAGACCCGAGCCTCAAAAAGAGAAAAACCCAATGTGGTTGGTTTTTACTAAACTTAAGGCCATTCAAAACCCGGGTCTTCACTTGAGCTTTACTTGGGATTAAGCAGACGCAAAGACCGGGTTTTACCCGGGTTTAAGCTTTGAAAATCTCATCTCTGGTGACCGCTGTATATATTGTTAAATATATATATATTAGATAATGAGCTGCTGGAAGTATTAATTTAACGGAACAAATTAATTAAGCACTAAAAGACATTTTTACCGTGAACAATTTTAGATAAGAGCGTTAAGTCGTTTGTAATATTTTACCAGTTGTTTGAGTCAGCAGAAGAAACTTTTTTACAATAATTTTATCACCCGGACAAACCATGTAAAAAATTATTTTTTAGACCAATTTGCTGTTTAGAAAGATATTTCTTAAAAGAAGTTATCGACGAAAGTCATAGTAGAGCCGTAGAATAGATTATTTAATTATCATCATTATCTTTGCTGTTTTTTTCAAAATATCGTCTTTACAATTACAATAAAAAGGAAAACCTCCAACAAGCGACCCTAGCTGAAAGAATTTGAATAAATCTGCGAGATTTAAAAAAGAATTTTAATTATTTTTTTCAATGATGATCTAAGTTAATTATTTTGGTTTGTATACAGTATACACGCACGAATTTGTATTTGTTATTTAAGAATTGTGTAAAAATGTTTCTTCTTCTGACTGAAACAACTGGTAAAATGTTACAAACGACTTTACGCTCTTATTTAAAAATTCTACACCGTAAAAATGTCTCATTGAAATCAAATGAATCCTTAAGTTTGGACCGTCGACCATAGGGAGAAGTCATAAATTTTCATAGTAAACCCCGTATGCCAATCAGAAAGTCAGGAAATCCGGTAGCCATATTTTTTTGTGTTAACAAATTTTATCCTTTCAAAAATTTGTGTTGAAATGTTTCTGGCTCTGAGTAAATTGGTGAAGCCGATATAAATGAATTCCTTTAGAAGAGGAGTCCACTTCAGATAGATTGGTTGATAGTGTTCTTCTCCTTCTAAACAGATATTTATTTACACATCACTATCATCTACCATTCATACACAGGGAGGGAAGGGCGAGGGGGGGGAAGGTAAACCACACTAATTTATCTTCCAAGCCACAAATGACGTCCGGATTATAGATTAGATAGTGTATAATTAGATAGATTAGTGTATGATTATTATGTTATCCCGAAGGAAAAAGGGAAAAGGATTTACGGAAACATAAAATAAAAACTATATTAATTTCTTTCATGAAAATTATTGGTTTTATTTGATCAATTTTTAGTCTAATAAAAAAAACTCATTAACTTTGCCTGCCATTATCTATTCTCCGTAAATTAATTAGTTACTGAAAATTTGTTATACATTTAAATTTATAGTTTTAAAGACTGAAAGAAACTTCAGAAAACAAAGAGATTTTTGTTGTTTTTTCGAAAAGATATAAGCAGATTGGATTTAAAAATGGTATTATTTCCCGAAACAACTTTAGATCGTTTTTAGACAAATCCCAACCCTACTCTCTATTATTAGAATTATATAATTTTCTTTTCAATATATTCGCCAAAAAGTTTGGCATCATCGAGAGTTTGTCCTTACTAGTTTGAAGCGTATTGAATGAGTATTTCCCGAAATACGAACAAGTTTAAAGTCGTCTACTTTTGTCCAAAACCGCAAAAATATTTACGCCGCATTAGAGTGACAAAAATACAAAATTCTAAGGTTTTCATAAGAGATATGCATAACTCCCGTGATCTCTAATATTTTCAACAATTTGGATAGATTTCAGATCCGCTTAAAAATTTAATGAATCTTAAGAATTAAAAGAAATGAGGCCCCTAAACCCATTTTCCTTCTCTAGAATTGAATCACTTCTTTATTTAAACATTGCCCAATTAAGAAATGCATAAAGTACCAGAATTGCACAACATCCTGTTGCCAATTTTGAGTTGCAAGTTTGGCACAACATGGACCAAACAAATTAATATAAAATAAGATCTCTATAATCACTTTAACTCCAACAATTAACAAAAACATTAAATTTATGAATTTAAAATAAAATAATTTTAGCTAATTCCCGCTCTTGTAGGATTTTCTTCAAATAATTCATATTTATCGGTATTAGGGACGTATTAGGGACGTATTAGGGACGTATTAGGGACGTATTAGGGACGTATTAGGGACGTATTAGGGACGTATTAGGGACGTATTAGGGACGTATTAAGGTAGTATTAGGGACGTTATAGGGACGTATTAGGGACGTATTCAGAAAAAATAAACCTGTCATGTTTTTTTATAAAAAAATACATGTGGCAGATGCAGCCAATATTGGAAAAGTACCTGTTTGTGGGTGACACCATGGAGCTCTCAACACTACTCACGCTCATATCTGAGGTAGATCCAGAGTGCTTGGATTGGAGTAGGTTACTAAAATATTCATTATTTAAAGGACTGCTCACAAAGGTAAAAATTCAAATAATACCATAATTTAGGAGCACAGCTAACAAACAATAACGCTTGATTTCTAAGGACAACCAAATAGATTGTCAAGTACAATAGATGGCAACGAAAAGTTGTACACCTCAGTACAGCTGTATTCTGACGTCACAAGTGTCAATTCAGTTTTTGTGTCTGACAAAATTATTAATAATAGTGATAATTTTAGAATAAAGTATTTATCTTACAGTAAGATAATTGAAATTTTATTGGATCTTTATTTTCTGTTTTTACACGTGTTTATTTAATCTTGGAAAACATGTCAACTAATGTGAGGAAATTTCGTTTTCCTTGTTATATTTGACCCTTGTGACGTCGCGTATAATTGTCCATTTCTCTGTTGCCACCTATTGTACTTGATAATCTATTTGCGGACAACAATTTGAATTAAAAAGGACCAAAAAGGTCGAGACGGATTTTGGCCCTCAAGGACAATATTCAAAAGATTGGCTTAGTTCTGTCCATAGATAAAGATAGATTGCTCATTAGACGACATTTTTCATCTTAAAAGATATAAATGTACAGAGATGTTTTAAAGATATTCCTATTATATAGATTAACTAGGTCTGTTGTGAACATTGGCTGTTCTTATGTCATTGAGTACTTGTGGTGTACATGAGTTCTGTAAAAAGAAATTTAAGTTAGTTAAGTCCTTCTCATATCCTTCTCCAGTTCTCGTCAATATGATATATTGCTCAGTGAAATAATTTGATATTCTCAAAATAAAATTCACTCCTGAGTGGTTTAATAATTATGAAATCCATTAAAACACCAAACCACCCCGCTTATCATTGAAGTACACTTTGACCCCTAGAAGTATGAGTTCGCGGACTGTAGCGTACATAAGCTATCTATGTTTATTTATTTATCTATGGTTCTGTCCCTTCTTCCATAATTGTGACATCACATGTACTTTCATAAGTAGGAACAATCTCTTTAAATAAAAAAAGTAGTATAGAAAATGTTTATAATCAAGGTTAGAACTGGAACTGGGTCCAATCTTACTCCGGTACCACAGTTCCTAGATAACCTATATTTCAGATCTGATTCCAAGTAAAAGAATTGGGGGAAAGTTAAAATGAGACAACTGTCAGTTACAGGCATACAACATACACTACTTCATAACTACAATATTTGCCATGATGAAAATATACAGAGCTGAAAACTTTAGAATGGGATATCCTTAATCCCGATAGGTAAATTAATCTGGAGCTTGATAACAAGAGGAGAACAATCATGATTTAATCTGGATATTAAGAAAAAGAGGAGATCAAGCATTAATCTCGATATCCACCATTCTAAAGTTTTCAGCTCAGGTGTACTCTACAAACCTGAATGTAGATTTATTATTTTTGCTTTATTGAAAGCGATGCATTTTTTTAAACTGTGGATTAAATTTGTACCTGATATGGTCATTTGCCGAGATAAATGTTTGAGCAGAAGGTCCCGGAAGTCCGGGAGAGTATTTCCGGTTGTTTTTAGACATCCCCAGAGGACTCACTTGGCTAAGATTTCGCAGATTTTCGGCAGATTTATTTCGCGCGGTTTCAAAACCATTATTCGATCGAACTGATTCCACTTCTGATCCATTTCTATGAATCATCTCTTTCTGAAAAAAATATTCAAATTATAAAAATATACGATTATTTTTAGGGTTTCTGCATGAAAACCACGGATAACTGAAGTATTTTCTTTACATAGCAACAACTGTAAATCAACATTAAGGTCATAGAAAGCTATAAAAACATTTTGTGTGCAGTATTGTGATTTTAAAATAGTGAATATCACAGATTTGCAAATACTATGAAGTTCAGAACAATTAGTTTAAACCAAGGTTGAAGGGATAGGATTTGTAAGCACATTTTACTGTGACGTATAAGAGATGCTAAGAACTGGTTTTATCAACAAAACAACAAAAATTGTAAACAGCAGTCTTTGTTTATCTATGATAAACTGGTTTCTGAGCAGTCCTAATATGTCACAGTTAAAAACAGTGCTTAGGACCCATTTAATTTTGATGCGGATCCGGATCCCCACTGGAAAAAATGGATCCGGATCCAGGTGATGAACATTACTTCCAAATATTTACTGATTCTTTTAACAAAATAAGAATTTTTTTTTTATTTCTTTATGCTACAACTTTAAAACCCAAACCAGAGATAAGGACTTTTTTTCAGCAGTTCAGATCGAGTTTTGAGAGCAAAAGATTTCTTCATCAGTTTTTGGTTGATATTTTGCCATTGGATCCGGATCCAGGAAGCCAAAATGTTGCGGATCCAACGGATCCGAAACCTAAGCACTGGTTTAAAATAAACAAAAACATTTGACCGTGACCTTAGGGTTAATTGGATTAGTTTTCCAGGAAAAGAGCTACATTTGTGATTCAAATATTGAGATCGGTGTTGTACATCGTTTCAACATCTTTCATAAATTATGTTACATATCTATAAAAATATCTTCTCCATGATCGCAGATTTGATCGGTAGATGATCAACGATAGCATTATGATCGGTCCACACTTTTCTATCAACACTGAACAGATTCATTCATTTAAATTGCTTTAAAAAAATTGGAGTTTTTAACAATATAACAATAAAAATAATAATATATTTAAAAAAATAATATATTGAATGGTATTTTACCAGAGGGCTGCTTATGGTTCTCTTAAACAAACTTTACAAACGTATAACAACTTTTGTTTAGGTTTTTAGTCCTTTAAAAAACTTAAGTTTTTTCATATTTTTTATTCTTGCCCCAAAAAGTTTAGTTATTTCCCCCATAACAATCAATTTAGCAAGAAAACCAAAAAATTACACACCTGTAACTTTTAGGGGGAAAATCATTTTAAAATAGGGGGAGGGGTGGAATAATTTTTTAAAGAAAATATTCACAACTTAATTATTTGCTATAGTTTCCTTTCTTCGCACATCAAAGAGAAGTAAACAGAAAAGCACCTTTATTTCATAGCTTTAAAATTCGGTGATAGTGATGGACCAAACCTCTGTAGAGTAAAAAAAAGTAGATGCTAGCACATTTATTGAAAACATACTTCGGTCTGGGTTGACCCTGGTCAGTTCTAACAATATAATAACCATCAAAATCGATAAAAAAAATTGTTAAAAACCACAAGAAAATAAACAAACAAAAAAAGATTATTCAAAATAAAAATTTGGGCTGTCAAATGGACATAAGGGAAACATAGCTTTAATCTGCTCCAACTGCAGTTCACAAGTTTAATGCATCCGATTTTACAATTCCAGATGTTATAACTTTTGTTTGGATATTCAATGAACTTGATATTCATTGGAAATATTTTGAAAATAGATTTTCATTTGATCATCGAAAGTTCTGGATTTCTGGCACCATACAGGTATCCTAGGTCTAACGTTTGGTCCTTGGTTACGTGTTGTAGTCAACAATTTAAAAGTTTTGCCCCTCGGGTGTATTTTCAATTACCTAAACCGATTAGGTCTAAGAATTGATCAAATATAAGTATCCATTAATCTGTGTGATAAAACTACCAATATATACCAAATTAGCATAATGTACATTGTACATTGTACATGAAAAACTACAATTAGAATAAAGATTAATGGCGATATTCATAAAATAAAAATAGGAAGAGCCCGACATAAGAACAAGAATATATTATTCGTCGCTGCTCAATTAAATAGAATAAAGGAAGGATGAAAAGAATTAATGAATAAATAAATAAATGAATGAATAAATAATGAAAGGATAACCGAACAACCGAACAACCGAACAAATGAACAAATGAACAAATGAACAAATGAACAACTGAACAACTGAACAACTGAACAACTGAACAACTGAACAACTAAACCAATGAACAAATGAACAAATGAACAAAAGAACAAATAAAAAAATGAACAAATGAGCACATGCGCACATGAACACATAAAAAAATGAACAAATGAACAAATAAATGAATGAATGCCTAAGATTCTCTGTTTTCTCCTCTCTTTCCGAATATTCTCTGAGGAGATAATCCTTCCCAACCTAGAAATAATAAATTAGCATCAATTATCTAATCAACTAATTAACTAATTATTAACTGTGTTATCTATTATATGGTCCCCATGGAGTGAGTATAGTACAAATAAATTAAAACCCAACAAAGATTGTATTTTGAGGTTCATATAATTCATATAGGAGTACTTACTTAGTACTTACTCAGGGGTGCATACTGCATATAGGCGTACTTACTTAGTACTTACTCAGGGGAACATATAGGAGTACTTACTTAGTACTTACTCAGGGGTGCATATAGGAGTACTTACTTAGTACTTACTCAGGGGTACATATAGGAGTACTTACTTAGTACTTACTCTTGAGTGCATATAGGAGTACTTACTTAGTAATTACTCAGGGGAGCATATAGGAGTACTTTCTTAGTACTTACTCATGGGTGCATATAGGAGTACTTACTTAGTACTTACTCAGGGGT